ATGTCAATTAACCCAATATTTTTTTATATTTATACACTTATTCTAATTTTATATTACATTATGTCTTATTTCAAAATATCTCTAGTCTTATAATATCCGTCCCTATTAGCAACTGACAGGAAGTGATGCGCATGAAGTGGGAAAGTTAAGTGAACGCAAATTATGACAAACATTGATCTGGTATCGGAGATTTCTAGTTTTATTAGGATTTGATCCATTTTGATGCATTAGTATTTTCTGCTCTTTTCTGCACGAAATTGTGATTGTGACGTTTCACCTCATCAGGAAATATTTTCTGAATCAAGAAAAAACCTCATACCTTTTTTCTTTTTTTCCTCTCCATCTTTCATGCTGTTTGTTTTGAGAAAACGAATACACCAACAGAATTAACCCCTGTATGGCAGGAGTGACATGCAGCAGATGGCTGCAGCAGCTATGTAGAAAGGTGTTATCACAGGCTGACAGTGAAGATCTGCTATTTAAACAGAGTGGCGTGTTGCCGACTTCTCCCAGTCTGCACACGCCAGTCAGACTCGGTGAAGACCGCCGACACAAAACTGGGGATGTCAAGTCGTTAAATTCAACACTACGGATTTATTGCGCAGTATCTTCTAACCCCCGAAGAGGTTGACACCATTTAGGAATAGTGTACACCTCAATGGAGCTGTTCACTTTGGCCATTTCTGCTGGCCGCTTGTCTCCCGTGTCGTGCGTGGCGCTGAAACAGCGACGCCCTCGGCGAGGGCAGATGGAAGCGGCCTCCCACCGATCCACTCCTTGCCCCCTCGTCACGTACTTTCCCTGCTGCCGGAGCTGCTGCGTCTCTCGCTCCCTCTTTTCATGTTTTGAAGTGGCGTTCCTCAGTGTTGTGCGCCTAATTAAAAAGCACTTACAGTTGCTTCTGGTTCGAGCCCGAAACCTCGCTGTCTCATCACGGGGAGCTAATCAGATCCCCTTTCAATCACGGCTCCTCCTTAATGAAGAGCTGCAGACGGACAATGCTGCTGCCCGCCCCCCCCCCTCTATTTTGGGGTGTTTGGGGGGGGGGGGTGGTAGCTGCTAGGAATGGCATTTTTGGAAGGGAGGGTGTGTATGTGTGCGATAGAGTGGGCTGCGAATATCAAGCGCTGAAGTGTGCGTGGCAGTGAGTCTGCCGTGGGGAGACCGGGTGTGATGTTGGAAGTCTCGGCCGAGGTTGCGGGATGCGGGGGTGGGGGGGGCAGGGATTAACATGATCAAAGACACAAATGCAGAGCCACATTGGGAAAGTAAGAGAAAAGGGAGGAGAGCGATGCAGGGCTCCCCACATCCCCCTCCCTCCCTCCCTCACCCCTCCCCCTCCCCCCTGTTTTCCCATAGCAACTCCCATGGAAGAGATGAACCGTAACTGAACCGTGGCTTCCCCTGCACTTCACCCCCCTCCCGCCCCGCCTCCAACAACTATCGATTTACAGCAAAAACAACCACAACAAAAAAATGACAATAAACAACATTGGATTGTGATTGTACATGGCGCGTTAGGCGGCCCGTCCACGTTTGCAGCGATGTGAACACACACCGGGGTTCGGAGTGGTGGCGAGCGGGGCACATGTACCGGGAGACAGACAGGAAATAAACAAACAAGTCGCCTTTAATAGAATTGTACCTGCAGCCCCGAGGACACACACACACACACACACACACACACACACACAAGCAGAGCATATCAGCCGGCATGCTAATACTGCCAAAGGGAAGCCAAAACTAATAGCAGGGACATTAAGAAAATGATCCCCGGGCTGATATGTTTTCTATAGATGGCGACTAAACAGAATTGCCATATTTATCATACTCAGGAAGCAGAGAGAGCGGACCGAGAAAGAGACCCCAATCCTCACTGCTGTCCCTCTCAGTTGTCCCCAGGAGAGTGATGAGAGTTGCCCCCGGGGAGGGGGAAAGTTTCTGTTTCCATGTACGAGAGTGTGCCTTTAAGTGTGCGTGTGTGTGCGCGTGTGTGCCAGTCCACCCAGTGCAGCAGTGCCACAACGTAAAAGTACCACATTACAAGTAAATATCCTGCACAAAGTAAAAGTACAGTGCATTCAACCATAGGGTACAAACTCAGAGGAACAACAAACAGAGAACAAGAATCTTTTTAGCACCAGCTGTTCCGCCTGCAAGATGCCAGAACCACGTGGAACTTTTACAAGCTTTTATGGGTACGTACCCATAAAAGCTTGTCAGGACTTCGACGGGAGGATAGTCAGAGCGCAATAAACTTAAACACGACAACTGTGATTCCAGTAGAATGCAACTCGTCTTTGAATGGTAAACAGATGCAACACTTAAATAGATTTGAGAAACAAAAGCATCTCTAAACCACAGAGAAGCTCGGTATAGTTAAGTCGTTTTGTGTGTTTGTCCACATGTGGGATGTCTCCACACTTTAGTACTTCCAAGTCAGTCTGTGGGGAACGAAAGGGGAAACCGGGATCACAGTATGCAGTGTGTTTGAGTTGGAGCCAATCCACGTGACTGGGATGAACCTACCACGAAGCAGATGCCTCCAGGTCCATCCAGCTGTTTCAGAGACAGATCAGAGTTCCTGGGAACCGAGCTGGGAGTCCCACCGTCCACTGGAGTCACTGGACCGCCTCACTCGATAAAAGACCTGACCGCCACTTCAAAAACAGGCTTATAGTCTCGGTTCTGTTTTCCTTCATATTTCAAAGATGTCGTACGGTATCATACAAGATCATCGTGATGTTATAATGAGACTAAAAGCAAATGCGTCACATTCTACTAATTATTTGTCATTCTTGTTCAAATTGCATACACCCAAATATTTAAATTGCTCTGACAAAATACGTTTTGCAAACTTTACATAAGTCCATATATCATTAAAATAAACCTGTTTTCCATATGTGAGTGAGTAATAAAAAAAACTAACTATTAAACAGACTAACCTTCTTTTCTCGGTGAAAAATAATAGTAACTCTCTGTAGAAACAAAGTAGATGTTTTACATATTGAGTAGAAACAAAGTAGCTACTTATTAAATTAAGATTTAGCTATTATCATAAAAATAAAAGCACATCATCACAAAAGAAAAGTCTGTTATTTATGACTGTAATCCTTTCTATTTGTTGAGTTAGTTCACTGGAGGTAAAATGGAGACACAAAGGAACCGTTAAGAGGAGGAGTGTTTGCGAGACGTGCTTTGATTGACCTTTCAGGCTGTGGAGGGCAGAACAGCTGAAAACACAACGCTCACAGCATCACATTCTAAGCTGGTACGGCTCCTTTTCCACCTATTTTGGTCACACTCAACACAACGTTAGTATTTATTTTGGATAATATGTCCACCCTCCTTTGTTATCCCTTTTCATTCAATCATGGCTACGATGTAGAAATAGTGAGCAGCATTTTGAACTTAAAGCATCCGACATACTTCTAGCTTCACAAAGCTGCTTTGAATGTGTTGCATGGGAAACCAACTAAACAACCTCCTGGTTTCTCTTTTTTTAACCGTTACTTAAAGTATTAAGTAACGGTTAATACCTCCTCCCCCTCCTCCACCTCCACCACCTCCTCCTCCTCCTCCTCCTGCCCTTTTCTGGCTCTCCAATTAAGCATCAGCAGCAGGTTTACATCGGCCTTCTGGTCCGCTGCAGCAGGACTCTTCAGAGCGGCGGCCTGCAGGAAATGAACTCATCACTGGGTGACAGCTGCTAAATTCCTCTCCCTTCCATGTCGCAGGAGTGGCCTGCTGCAGTTAATAATGAGCCATCCAGCCCTGATTAGTGACATGCAGCAGGGTGGAGATGCGCTGAACACTGCACACAATCACTCAGCCGGACGTGTAGGATGAGCAGATGGACATTCCTGTCGAGCACACAGGGAACTGCGGATGTTTGTGGAGGCCACGAACTCCACTCAGCTCAGTAATGTGATTTATAGATATTATAGTATTAAAAGAGCATGATATCCAAACGCCGACCAAACGATAAAATGTGATACAGCGCATTCAAAGTCCTGTAATGAGGAATCATTCAACACCAGAAACCACCATCATCTCGGGTTCAATCAATTGGCTCCACTTCACAGAACAAATCGGTATCCGGAGGGGGGGGTTCAAAGATTATCATTGGAAAAAACCAGAGCTAGTTTTTTACATCATACATTTCTTTCTGATTTTCCTCCCACTACTCTGATTCCACCCTTTCTTACCTTTAAAAAAGAACTCTTTGGTCGATAAGAGACATGATGTGAGCCAAAAAAAGGTGAGAAAGCACCACCTACATTGACTATTTGAAAAAGGAACTTCTTGCCACCACCGCTCACACACGCCACTTACCACATTCTGACACTAAACCCGATTTCCAAAACAGAGAACGTGACAGTTTTTGGCCAAACTTGGCTCACAGGCGACGTGTGGATGCTCACTGTGAACGCAAATTTGGTTAAAATTGTGTTCATCTCTGCGGAATGGGAAAAAAAAGAGCATTCGGAGAACTGTGTTTGTGCGTGTGTGTGTGCGTGTGTCCGTTAGAGGGATGATCTTTTGATGAATGAGCGCTTTGTCTCTCCACTTTCAGCGGTTGTCCGTTGTGTATCTCGGCCGTCGTACTGCTCTCCCACTCACTCCATCAGGAACCAGGCCTGTGTAGGGGCCTAAATGAATATTGATTCTCCCTCCAGTGCTGAACACTGTGCTGGGGGGGGGTGAGGCGGGGCGAGGGGGGGGGGGGGGGGGGGTTCCTGTCATGAACAAAAAGGGCCCCAAGTGGGGAGACAGAAGAGAGGATGACCAATAAGGGGGAGGGGGACATGGAGATGAAAAAGATAATGGTGATGATAATGGCTGTGGTAGTGATCCGCGGGCCTTGAGGGAGCCACCCCCTGATGCATGTATGTGGCTCGGATTATATGTGCCATACGCGCTGTGCTGTACGTGTTACGGCCGTATTGAGGCTGAAATGTGGGCGTGGTGTGACAAGTAACAGCAAATACGGGAGAGAATTGTTAAAAATTACTCACTTTTTATTGAAATTTCACAAATAATGAATAGAGGTTTCCCAAAAGTGGAACTTACAAGCAGCTGATACGTAATTATCAACTAGTTTCATTACATATAAATCATCTGTAAGATCTATTTCGGAGTTTTTTTGTGAAAAACTAGTTTCATAACTAGTAATACTATATCTCTACACACTATGGAAAAGAATAAACAAGAATGAATAATTGTGTCGTAGTCAAAATTAGACTTAGAAGAAAAAAAAAGCACAATAGATATTTTGCTTCATCGTGACTCCCATAATATAAGAGCCATTTTAACACATTTATTTCCGGAGGAAATATATTAATTTCCTTAAATTGGCATTAGGGGATAACGTAGTTCTGCTGGATGTGAGGATTGCAAGTTCACTCACTGGGCACCAGAAGCAGTTTCCCCACTGTCCCTCTCACTGAAAGATGTTTAACCTGAGTTCAGCGGAGCCGAACTGAACATCGTCGGAAACAAAAGCCAACCGACAACAGAAGTGATGAAGGAATATGTGAGCTTCATCCGAACGAAGGGCAACTGAGACGTGGAGTGTGTGTGCGCCTCCCTCCGCTAGCCTTCCATCACTACGTTGTGAGGGGTCCCATCCAGATAGACCACCATCTCTTCCCCGGCCTGCGGCTCCGCCTGCTCCACCTCCCCGTCGGCCGCCCCGGCCTCTGCATACACGCCTCCCTCCACCTGCAAGGTGCAGTTGTCCAGCTCCGTCACGATGTAGTGCGTCCCTTCGTCGTTGACGATGACCTGGGTCAGACCTTCCTTCATCATCTGGGAGGCGGCGAGCTGCAGCACCTCCTGCATCCCCTCCTGGCTCGCCTGCTGGAGGACCTGCACCGCGCCGTGGTCCCGCTTCACCTCCGGCTGCGCGGCCTCGGCGCGCAGGGCGTGGTCCTCGTGCTGGCCCATTTCGCTGACGGCGCTGAGCAGAGCATCGAGGGCTGTGGACGACTCCGAGACCATGTGGCTCGCCCCCCCCCTTCTGGCCAAAGCCCGCAGCTCTTTCCGGGCCTCCCCGGACTCCAGCACCACGTACTGGGTGCTGCCTCCGGCCAGGTGGGCCCCCGCCGACGCCACCTCCCTGCCCGAGGCTATGAACTGTCCGTCCTCGGTGATGTGGAGCACCTCGGCCACCTGGCCGGCCATGGCCAGCGTCTGCAAGGTGGCGGCGGCCGACTCCTCCAGGGCCTGGTCGATGGTCACCTCCTCGTCGCTGTAGCCCTGGATGATGATGACCTGCTGGACCTGCTCGTCGTGGACGGGCGCCTCCGACGAGTCCTTGTTGTGCGGGGGGGAGTCCACGGCCTCAGATTCCACGAACGCAGCGCCCTGACCCTTCAGCCGGCACTCGAAAGACTTGGACACGATACCTGTGGGGACACAGACACATGTTTGGTTTCACTATTGGCATTAGACTGAGTAGGAAGGTGAGGGCCATGAAGCCTCCTTTTGTCTCTGCACGCGTTATATGCATGAGGAAGAAAGAAAGAACAGAAGGAATGTGTGATGTTTAGCGGCAAGATTCAAAAACAAACTGCACATACAGCACCGCAAATTCATACTCTTAATGTTCTATAACAACGGTTGAGTTTATTGTGTTCGTGCACCCGTCACTGTGACAAAGAGCGAGAAGGGGGAAGAAATAAAGGAGTTGATATAAAAGGTGACGCAACACTTTGCATATTTTTGTCACTTAATCCATGAAGGGAGACAGAATATGGAGATATTAGACGAGTGCGGTGAGATACGACTGGTGCTAATTGAGCCACACTGTGCCCTCTCCGATCACAGGTTGCCATGGCGTTTCCAAGGTGATAGGAACAGTGTTAGGCTAATCCATGCAGAGAATGGGACTTTGAGACAGTGAGGAGGGGACTCTGTTCACGCCTCTGCTTCCGTGCACAAATGAACTTAAAGTAGAAATACTGCACACAAATATGAATACTATTGTCAAAGAGGGAACCCAAATTCCACTCGGAAGCTTGCAGATTCTGCGACAATTTCAAGTAAATATTCAAAACCTCTCTTTGTTTACTCCCCCCCCCCTACACACACACACTCAGGGTGGTGTGGAGATCATACAGATCTCACACCACACAACCCATCGATCATTACATTCCCCCTGTATCTCCCCCTGACATTGAATGTGCTGCACTCGCGAGGTTGACCGCCGTTGTGCGTCTGACCCCGGCGGTGCTCCGGTCAGCGTGAACGACTCGCACACAGCCAGCTGGCGTTCCCTCTCGCCCCCGTTGGAAAGGTGGGCAGTGACCACTGACCCTTTGGCGACCGCAGTCGGCCGCGGATCCACTTCCAGAATAGTGCAAAGCTGCACATGGAGGAAAGGAATGATTAAGATTGCAGTACCAGTCAAAAGTTTGGACACACTTTCGATAATCTGTCCAAACTTTTGATTGCTACCGTTTAATGTTTTAGGAGTGAAGGCCGGGGCCGATACACTCTTACTCTTACAATCTGGACAAAGCACTGCCTTTTTTTTCCAGTTCTCTGCCCACAAAGACTGTGCAGGAAGGTGGAAGAGTTCACGTTAAGTGCAGATAGACAGACAGGACGATTTCCTTCTGAGGATTGAGCTCTTTTCACCCTCTCACTCTCAAACCTGGTAAGAGCAGTAACTGCAAACTCTGGAGCGGTTTCCTTTTGGGTGCAGAGGAAAGACGGCGCGATCAGGCCAGGCCCTTGTTAAGAGCGAGGGACTCTGCAGCCTTCTTTGGATCGTAATCGAGGCTACATCTTTGCATTCTAGCACAAAGCGATCTACAACACTTTAGTTCCGCCTGCGGGATTTGTCGGCACACCTCGAACTCGCTCAGTCTCTTCTCTCACTACGTGAATCTCTGTTCCTCTTCGGCGCGTCTGCTGCACAGCGCTCCCTCCATATCTACATAGCAGAAGGGAAACAATGCGCCTTGTTGCTCCGGCAAATGAACGAACGACTCCCCGTGACGCCGCGCTCAGTGTAGTAAATATCCACTCGCACTCTACAATTTGTGTCCAAAGTGACGAGCCCGGTAGTTAGTGTGTGGAGGGAGTCGGCCCCGTCGACCGGCGCTCTGAGGTTACCTGTTCACACGGAGCCACGGGGCCCATGCGAACTGCCTACGCCGAGAGGTCGGCTGTGGAGGACGAGAACTCAATGGATGTGCAGTTTCTGCTGGATTACCATAAAAACTGTTCATCTGTGTGTGTTTTAAAAGAGAGAGGGCATGTTAGCAAACAAACTCATGACTGGATGTGTAGGATCAGTTTAGTAAATCTGCCATTTCTTTTTGCCAGTTTGTGCCGAATATCTGTTAATGCATGAGCGCATGGAGGGGCCTCTCTGGATGACCGTCGTGCGCATGTGTCGATATGCGGGCGGGGGCGCTGAGGTCGCTGCGATACCTATTATGTATGTACATACCGGTCCCTGCCTGCGCTCCCTTTTTATAGATGTGTGTGCGGTGCTTGTGGGGGTGGTGCGGCTGCTAGCGTGTGTCACATTAGCCGCGGGGCGCCGGCGGCGGGAACCGGGCGGCGGCCCGCTGAGGTTTATGGAGTGTCACTCAGTCGCTGCCGCCGTGAATCAAGTTAATGTTGCAGATCCCATCTCTTGAGTTGTCCTGCGCTCCCGGTGGAAGAACAACATTTGAACAGCGTGATTTGGCCCCGGCGAGAGGCTGATGCCTGTTTAATATGTGTTTTGAGTGTTCTGACTGACTGATTCCTTTAACAGGAAGTGCGAGCGAGGGAGAGAGACGGAGGGAGAGGCAGGCTGCTTTATTGGCTGTGATCTGAAACAAGATGGAGGCTCCCTGAGAGGAATAAAACAACGGGAGGGGGAAAAGGATGCGGGAACGGGCGGTGATGTCATTGGGATTTTTCAGAATACAGGAATTAGTTAACAGAAAATTAACAGAAAAGTCTTGAATTAAAAAACTGAATCAATGACTAATAAGAAATGTGCACAGAGCTCATATGTCGGAGAATTTGACTTCGGTGAACTTGAATTGATTCTGGTTCAGACATTGTGCAGAGGTGTGTGGACGCAATTCAGTTAAATATATGACGTGTGCCAGAACTATGAGAAAGTGGAGGGGGGAGAGGGATACGCGTCCATAAAAAGGATATCAGGATAAAAAGACAAATCTTGTAGTCGCATTTTACAATAAATCAAATGCCAAACGCAAAGCACAGCCTTCCTTTCAGATGTCCGCTGGCAGGTGCAGCGATTCGTTTTTTTTAAAGATCAGGCCGGGATGCAAACGATTGTCGTGACAATGATAGAAAACCATCCAATTGTCCAATGCATTTCCTTTATTCTATATTCTGCTTTGTTTGGGATCAAAACAACATCTGGGGGGGATCGCCCTGCCCGCTCTGCATGGGCATACAGCAGAGCACCAAATGAGACCGACATGCGGCCGCAGACTCCTCTGGAACCTCCACGACGACCCCTCGGTGCTCCCCGCACCGCAGTTTGCTCCCCGTGTGTGCGCGCGGCGACGGGCCCGCCTCGCACCAGCCGGCGTGTGTTAGCGTCAGGTCGGTGCGGGGGAGCTTCCCCGCTCCGCGCGCGGTACAGATGTGATTATCGATCAGCCGGTCGATGGGCTGGCCGGCAGCGGGGGCCCGGGGCCTCTAAGTGGCATTACTTCGGCTCGGAGAGGCCGCCAGGGGAGCGGTCAGACAGCACTTACCAGCAGTTAGAGAAATTAACCTTAACACCGAGACACCAGCACACACACAATCAATTACACTGGCGGTAACACAGGTCAGCTCGCTGCAAATATAAGCTCACTTGCACATGCATGTGCGATCGGGCCAGCACGTACACACACGCACACACACACACACACACACACACGCACACACACGCAGGGCTACATGTTGTTGCACTTGTGAGGACATCGCTTTGGGTGAGATCGCTAAACGTAAATTCAAGCCTCATCTCAGTCTACGTGTGAAAAACACCAGGTCCTGAATTGGCTCAGAGACGAACATGAAAAACACAAGGAATGAATCCTGTATAGACACTAGAAGCATGTCAAATAAACCAGAGGGGGAAAAAATAAACCGCGCTCCCCCAATGAATTACAGGGTCAGTTGCAGCACCGTGAAAAAGCCAGAGCTTATGATCAATTCTCAACTACGGCACAAAACCTTTTTATGAGCCGATTACCTTCAATTAGAGATATGAAGCAGCGGCCTTTAGAAGAGCATGATGGAGACCGCTAAACCTGACACACATACAGCTGTTGTTTGTGGGAGTATTTGTGTGTGTGTGTGTGTGTGTGTGTGTGTGTGAGAGACTGGTGCAGGCTTTTGAAGGTGACACTGCTAAGTAGATAAAGTGTCAGTTTTGGGTGTATCCAGGTCAGCGGGGAAAACCTGCACACCAGAGTTTGTGTTTGTGCGTTTCTAAGTGTGTCAGTATTTGAATGTCTGCACATTTATTCCTGTGTGTGTTTCATTAACATCTCCATTATCTGATTCCTTCGTTTTTTTACTTTCTTCTGGCATTTGTAAGTTGTCATTTCTGATTATTTGAAGAAAGGTGATGCATAAACACACGTTTATTGTAAACACTTTATTTGAGCATGCTGTTAATGTCTTATGTTCATTATTAATAGGCGTATAGGTATGTAAACATTTTAACATTTTAGTGAATACGTGTATAGTAATAAAATATAATATATGGTTTATGTGAATTCCATTATTTCTTTATATATTACATTTAATAGTAATAGTTATCAAGTATTTAGTTTCACACAATTGAAGTGTGACTCTTTTTGCCTGCTAAAAAAGCCCAGCATCAATATGTGCATGTGTTTATACCCTTTTATGTGTGTTTTAGGATGTTGTTTGGTTTAGCCATGTACACGACGACCTTACCTGCCTCTCCTCCCCCATGAGGCCTCAGGCTAAAGCTGCATGTGTTTCCTACCTGCGTGTGTGTGCGCTTGTCTGCATGTGTGTGTGTGTGTGTGTGCAAACTAGCAGGTCAGCTGGGGTCTGGCTGGTGATGGCTCTACTTTGTCTGGTAGGGACAGACGCTACTGTCACCTTTCCCAACGCCATGAATCAACGGCAGGGAGGACAGGGCGGCTGACCGAAAAACAACCAATTATACAGCAGCCAGATTGACACCGGGGGGACCGGGCAGGGAGAGAGATGGAGACGCACTGAACACACCCCAAGGACAAATAAACAGGAGAGAACGAGGGCACGGACTGACAGCGGGCCGATATTAATGCATCTTTGACTCCAGTTGGAAGCTCAAGAAAGAGGGAATGACTTTAACATAATCTGCGTCGTTATTCACGCCCGTCGCTTGACGTAGCACAATGTTTAAAATGCCTTTGAAACG